GTGGAGGTGGAAGAGGGTATAGGGGAGATAAATAGTATTGGAAAAATAAATAATAAGTAAAATAAAAATTAATGTATTCCAAAGAGAAACATTGAATTCATTACCTGTACAGAGTTCTGTGCAAAGTAATGATATTTTTAATAAAATAAGTGCTCAAATGATGACAGGGTAAGCACAGAGCCACAGAAAAGTATAAATGATTCACACATGAGGTAAATGACCTCTGCAGGCTTTTCCATTCCAAATTTATATGATTTTGGGAATTTTTAATAAAATGAACAAATATTTATTAAAAATAATATTATTATTATGGTCTTTTTGGTGGTCTTTTCAAAGAGCTTAGTTTTAAAATAAACATTGTTTCAAATTTGTGAAACAAGAAATTTAAAATCAAAGGAATCAGATTTCTACAATTTAGTTTCTGATGCTCAAGGTGGGCAGACTTTAAAATGGTGCATGGTTGAGGCCATGTGGGAATCTGTGTGGTCCTTGCCCTGATTGAATACTATTATACATTCTGTAATATGCAGGAGGCACAAAGCATTCATAAGTTATGCTTTGCAGGCAAACTTTTATACAGGAATAGCAGTCATCTTCAGAACTTTGCTTTCTAATTAATTAGAATAGACCTTAGGGAAAACTGTGATGTTTGCTTGTTTCATCAAGCTCTACTTTCTGAGCTCATTTTCCCTGTGAATTTACTTACTCTTTTGTTCTCTCTGTTCTGTTCTACCGTATTTTGCTCTGTATAATGCGCACCCAGGTTTCTGGCCCAAACTTTCAGGAAAAAAAAACTGTTTTAATTTTTTAATTAAATTTTTATTTATTTATATTTACATACTTGTTTGTATTATAAAGGAATTTTAGCATTTATTTTTTAACATATGTACAAGAAACTTTATGTAACAAATAATTACAAAACACAAGAACAGATGCAAGGTATTTCAGGTACTACACATGTATAACATGCATCCTTACTTGTCCGTCAAAAATTTGGGCAAAAAAATGCACATTATACACAGAAAAATATGGTAATACCCTCTACAGAAGCCTTATGCACTCAAGTTAGTTTCCTTCCTACCCTTTATCAAAACATGCTTTTGGATCACTCAGGCTGAGTAAAAGTGACAAAGATCTTAAAGTATGACAGTATTTGAATTTCAATAGGAAAGTAAGATTTACGTAGACTAAAGTGATGAGGTGTAGAGATAATGGGATTAAAGTTGACTGTCAAGCCTCAGTGAGTAAGATGGGAAGACATTTTTAGACATCAGAACTCTTCCGAATCTCCAATCATAAGACCAGTCCTGAGAGCCATACAGTTAGAGAGAATTAATTGTATGGAAAGCTCAAGATACCAGAAATCAGAAATAAAAATCATTCTTTAATTCACAAATTAGATATAGTTGACTAAAATTAGTCATGACATGAAAATTGCTCCCTGTTTCCTGAACCCAAGCCAGCTAACAGTGAAAATGAGTTGGATAAAGTGGACTTGGTGTTGGTGAATGGCAGAGAAAATTTAGTGTGGACTACAGATGGAAAGTAGATATCAAGATGACGTGTATTATGTGTTTGTGTGTGTTTATATAAGAGCTAATTCTGTCAACTCAAAAAGACATTTAAAGCCACCGAAGTTATTAATGGACTAAGAAGCAACTATGAACTTTAACGTCATTTTATTGCTAACGTTGGTCATATTTGAGGGATGAATCAATAGCAATGACTTCCTGAAAAATCTCCTATGACTACTGATTTTTTTGTGTGTGGCACTGATAGGCAAGGGGTTCTGAAAAGGCACAAACAGGAAATACTGTCTGTCAAGAATTTGGATGGTAGTATTTGAGCAAACACCAAGATATGACAGAAAGCACTGTTTTCTTTGTCTCATATGCAAAGTTAAAATGAAAAAGTATAAAGTCTAAAATGTATTATTTTATACTTAGCAGTTATATAAATTAAAACAAACTGAATTTACTACTCATTATCATTATTCAGTTACCCAAAAAAATTTGCTTTGAAATGATTCCTGAATATGAATGCATTTCATGTTGGAATAAGAAAGCAAAACTAGACTCCATTTTATTTACATGGGTAAGTATTTAGTAGTCACAGTCAATAATTAATTTTCTAACATTCCATAATTTACTATTTTTTAACAAAAGTGGGATTTTATTTTTTTTATCAGGTATTCTGTTCATAGTGCTGAGAAATGAAGAAAATGCACTAATTTTAAGCAAGTCAGTTTCTTGCTTTGCCTGATGGTTCTGACAATGAATTAGGCTTTCTCTAGAGCACAATAGTTCTGAATCAAAAGAAAGCTGGCTCTGACATATTCCACAAAAAGAAGGGTGCCAAGACATAGCAATCTGCTTTAACTTTTCAGAGTTTAAAACCATTATTGTACTTTGCATGAATTTTACACTTACCTTAAATAATTTTTACTGTGGAATTTATGATGCTGTAAATCTACACTTTTGAAATATAGTAGGCTTCACATGTCACACATCAGGCATTTAAATTCAACCACTAAATTATATTGTTTCATAAAGTAGGAGCAAATTTTCTGATAACAAGCAGAAGCTGACAGGAACAATAGATTTTCCTCTCTTTTCTGTTTTATTGTGCATGAGCCTAAGTCTCTAGATGGTGAATTAATAGCAACACATGACAAAATTTTCCTGATCACTAATTAATGAACTATAATGCCACTAGTTTTATTATTGCTAAAACTTTCACTAATTTTTTTACTTTACTCATCCTTTTTTTCCCCTTGATCTTCCTCATTCTCAGAAAGCTCATTTCATTAACTAGTCAGGTGATACTTGATACAACCGGAGAAAAAGCAAAGAATGAATGTAATGCCAGTTAGTATAACTATTAAATTGCCAAAATATGGAAGCAGCCCAAGTGTCCACCAGCAGATGAGTGGATAAAACAACTATGGGACATTTACACAATGGAATACTATTCAGCCATAAAAAACAAGAAAATTTTACCCTTTGTAACAGCATGGATGGACCTGGAGAACATTATGCTAAGTGAAATAAGCCAGTCAGAGAAAGACAAATGCCATATGATTTCACTTATATGTGGGATTTAATGAACAAATTGAACTAACAAGCAAAACAGAGACAGACTCATAGATAGAGAGGAGGATGACAACTATGGTGGTGGGGAGGTTAGAGAATGCAGGGAATGACTAAAAATGAAAAAGGACTCATGGGCGTGTACAATAGTGTGGTGATTGTGGTGGCAAGGAGGCGAGTATAAGGGGACTAAATGATAATGAAAAAATACTATAAAAAATAAAACTAAAAAAAAAGAGAAGTTTTGAGAGTATTAAAACAGAAGGGCAATAGAAATAATGGTTTACTTTTAGAAAAGTAATGGGGTGTAAAAAGGACCCAAAATGACAACAGAGATAATTTCCCAGGGATTTAATATAGTTGATACATACCCAATGTGTGTCCATGGGCAAGAAGCAACTTGTAAAGAAGAATCAACAGTTATATTTCTGGACAAATCAGGTTGTCAAAATGAGATAATAATGCACTATTTACTTCAATAATTTCTTAGGTTTTCTTTGTTTCTTATCCTAGAAGTTATCTGAGATTATCTGAGTGAAAGCATGACAAAGACTTCAGCCTTATGGGACATGAAGCAATGAGAACTCAGGGCAGGAGGGCAGATGAGTAAAGAAAGAAGGGAAAAGAGAAATGAAAGAGCAGAGAAACGTATTTCTTGGCTGTCAGGTGCTAGGAGAGTTTATTTTTGCTTTCTTACTCAATCTTCACAATTGCTCTTGTCAGATGGTATTAACATACCCATTTTAGAACAAACAACTGAGGCTTTTCAACTACAGATTGCATTTCAATGTCTTCCAGGTTTTCAAGCCTGTGATGGGGACATTTGTGTCTGGAATTTTAATCCCAGACCAGGTGGATACATCATTATAGAAACACAGTTTTGACCAATATTTTAACCACATTAAGTGTTGCTTGTCCTCTCCAGGATGGTAGTTTATATTTCAAGAAGAACTATAATTATTTTCCCTAAAACAATTTTTCTGAGTTGTTTGTGCCAACTGAAGGCTTTGATTGATTTTTATAATAGCAAAATCCTGGAATTACATGCAAAATGCTGTGGGGAAAAAAATATTTATTTATTTAATTTTAGCTATCATCAGATCCTCAAAATTCAATCATACCATCTAATAGTTTACATTAAATGAGGCAATGAATATGTCTTCTGCATCCAAACACTATTATAATTATTTTTCATTCTTAGAATGTCCTGAAAACATCTGTTATGTCCAATTCGTAGTAATAGAACTGAGGTAAAGGGAAGTCCAAGTAAGTGACAAGGATGGAATTCAAATCTAGGTGAGTTTTAGTCTTGCGCTCCAATACTTCTAAACCCTGTATAGCCTCTCAGTGAGGATAATCAGTATATCTTCATTTATTTCTTTTGCCACAGTTGAGGACAAAGAACAGAGGTGTGTGATAGAAATGCAGAGTCATGACACAATATCCAAACTAGTACAGATTGGTTTTAACATAAATGGTATAACAATAATGCTACTCAGCAGCTACTAAATATTCATATTATGCTGGGAGCTGAGTTGGAAGTACTTTACAGGCATTGTTTTATTTAAATCTCACATACATGCCAGAACCCATAAAAAATGAAATTATCTTCTGAAGGGCAGGCCCCTTATAGTACAGGCTTCCCCTGCTCGGTGAGTGTTCTAGGAACCCATCCGTATCAGTGTACCAACTGGCGTTGTGAGAGGCTGCGTTCAGTTTCAGTGAATATTTTTTAAAACTCTTTCAAAGCATTTGCCTATTTCATAATGGGTGATTTATGAGTGCACCTCCCCACACTGCAATGAGTGTTCAGTACTTTTTGATCAAAAAATGGCATGACTCCCATGCCCCAACCTCCCTGTTTGCCCAATCTCGCCCAGAGAGACATTTTTTTGTTTGTTTGTTTCCCAGGATGAAAAAAGTCCTCAAAGGGAAACGTTTTGTCAATGTGGAAGAGGTGAAACAAAAACTGGCAGAAGCACTAAAAGGCATCAAAATCGACGAGTTCAAAAGCTGTTTTGAGCAGTGGAAAAAAACATCCTGAAAGGTATATTGCATCCAATGGAGAGTGCTTTGAAGGAGACTGAAGTTTAAACATGTAAGAATACGCAATTTTTTATAAATAAATTCCATTTTCGGGTGTCCTCCCTTGCATACACAACCTACCCTAGGAAGTAGGTAATTTAAACATGCTAAGGTGATCAAAATAACATGAACAGATACCACTGGGAAAGTTTCCTGGGCTGTTGGTTGACTTTTGATCAAGGCATTAAGGACAAGTGATGGGTACTGTGGGGAAGCTGAAAGCTATTCACAGTAGGGAGAAGGTACTCCTATAAGCATGTACTGCCTGCTAAAGAACTCTGCACCCTGATAACCCAAAAACTGAGGTTCTGATGAACGCTGAAGGGAGGTTTCTTCTCACAGTTTGAAAACAAAACACTTGGTACCTATTCATGTCTTTGTGTTAGAATAGGATTGTTTTGTGGATGTGTGGAAATGATAAACCCAACTTTTCTCTCTTTCAGACCTAGACTGAATGTCTCTATCACAGAGGCAGGGTCCACGGAGCAGTTATCCCACATCCATAGATATGTTCTCCCCTTTATGTATGTTTAGCATTCTGGATAAATGAACAACAACAGCAACACCAAAAACTTATTTTTAAAACCTCTATTATTAATATAGTCAAGAAAACCCAACTTGATACAGTTATGCCAAAGTATAAATAAAATACTAATTCATTTAATTAGTTCTTCCTGTAAAATTGTATTTATTCCTACCACAGATATTATCACACAAAAATTTCTGGTAGTATCCCAGTATCAATGTAATTATGCAAATCACCTATGTTCCCCATTTAAGTAAGAATAAGTCATACAAATCTTTCTGCAGGAATATTATAATTATTCCCCAAAGATCATCTGTAATTTTATTTCTTCTGCTTTCACTCACTTTGGCATCAATTTCACTTTTCTACTCATGTGCTGTGTTTGCAAGCCTGCTGTGAAATAGCTGGTACACAAATTGTTTCCATCACTACATGTGCAGTGCTGACTCTGTTTGCATTTTAGATTATTTGCCTTTACAACGACAGCAGAGTCTAGGGACATGCAAGCAAAACAGTGCTTCCTTTTGTCACTTTCAGAAGAGGATTTTTGTAACTATGCATTACTGATTAAAGAAAACAGATTTATTTGTCTTTCTAACTCAGTGTGACACTTTCTTTTGAATTAATCATAAGATGTAAATTAGACTGGCTATAACCTGTCTTTTTTCCCCACCAGAGCAAATTAAAATAACATTTTGTACAAAAAAGAAAGGTTTTCCCTTCAACATCTGAAGCCATTGGTGTCTTCTTATTTGAAATTAAATTCTGATTAGGACATACTTTATATCTCATTCATTTCTGAAAGAGCCAGCAGAGTCATCCCTGTGTGTAATGATTGATCTCACTTGAGATATCTTAAACATATGAATAGTAATGGCTTCAGTGGTAAGTATCACCCATATTGACACAATTCATCAAGGAAAATATGTTGCAAATGCAAATGGACAGTGAAAGGACAAGAATAATTTTTAACTAGATATTGCTTTGATATCTAGTGCTATCAATGATATAGTATCATTTGACACTAAGAAATAGTGTCAAGGACATGAGAACAGATTTGATCCATTTCAAAGAAACAGTATTGGCAGATCACTTAACATTTACTAGGCATGTTCTTACAGTCTGACAGAGTATAGCATTTACATGTGTCATTCTACTTAACCACATTCTTTTGTAATAGTGTTATCCATGTTTGCAGATAGGAAACAGGCTCAGAAATATAAAGAATGTTACCTAATTACTGTAAGTAGCAAAACCTAAACTGATCTGATTCTAGAGCAAAGCTCTTTCTGCCACATCAGTCTCTGAGAATTGATTAACTCTATGACATCCATCTAGAATAATACTTTACTTTTTTTTAATTTTCAGCTTTATTTTTATTTTTTATTAATGTTTTATCATTTATATTATTACAGTTGTCCCAATTTTCCCCCTTTGCCCCCCTCCACCTAGCCTGCCCCCCACTTCCATAGTCAATCCCCACACTGCTGTGCATGTCCATGGGTCCTTCATATATGTTCTTTGAATAATCTTTTTACTTTCTTTCAATCAGTCCCCACCTCCCACCTTCCTTCTTACCACTGTCCTTCTAGTCAATGATTCTATGCCTCTGATTCTGTTTTGCCCATTAGTTTATTTTGTTCATTAGATTCCTCTTATAAGTGAAATCATATGGTATTTGTCTTTTGCCAACTGGCTTATTTCACTTAGCATAATAGTCTCCAGTTCCATCCATGCTGTTACAAATGATAGGAATTCCTTTTTTTTTTTTTCCCTGCTGCATAGCGTTCAGTTGTATAAATGTACAAGTTTTTTTGATCCACTCATCTATTGGTGGGCACTTAGGCTTTCTCCAATTCTTGGTTATTGTAAATAGCAAGGTTATGAACATAGGGGTGCTTAGTTCTTTTGAATTGGTGAGTCAGGATTTTTAGGGTATATTCTTAGCAGTGGAATTGCTGGGTCAAAAAACAGTTCCATTTTCTATTTTTTGTAAGGAAATTCCATACTGTTTTCCTAAGTGGCTATACCAGTCTGCAACAATGTACTGACGTTCTCTTTTCTCTTCATCCTTGCCAGAACTTATTTGTTGATTTATTAATGATAGCCACTCTGACAGGTGTGAGGTGATATCTTACTGTGGTTTTAATTTGCATTTCTCAGATGGCTAGTGGTATTGGCTAGTGGTATTGAGTGGTATGTCATATGTCTTTGGATCATCTGTATGTCCTCCTTGTAAGATTCTCTATTCATATCCTTTGCCCATTTTTTAACTGGAATATTTGTCTTCCTGGTGTTAGTTGTATCAGTTCTTTATATATTTTTGAGATTTAACACTTGTCCAGTGTATCATTGGCAAATATGTTCTCCCATATAGTCAGTTCCCTTTTCATTTTGACAATAGTTACTTAGTAGCAGTGCAGAAGCTTTTTAATTTGATGCAGTCCCATTTCTTTATGTTTTTCCTTTATTTCTCTTGGCCTAGGAGATATATCAGAAAAAATATTGCTATGAAGGATGTCTGATATTTTATTGCCTATGTTTTCTGCTAGGACATTTATTATAACATGACTATATTTAATTCTTTTATCCATTTTGAGTTTATTCATTTGTATGGTGTAAGTTTGTGATCTAGTTCCATTTTTTTTGCATGTATCAGTCCAGTACTCTCAACACCATTTATTGAAGAGACTATCTTTTCTCTATTGTATCCTTTTGCCCTCTTTGTCAAATATTTATTGACCATAAATACATGGGTTTATTTCTGGGCTCTCTATTCTGTTCCATTGAGCTATGTGTTTGTTCTTATGCCAGTTCTAAGGTGTTTTGACTACAGTGGCTTTTTAGTATAGTTTGATTCAAGTATTGTGATCCCTTGTGATGTGTGGTGTGCGGGGGAGTGCTACCACAGAGAGTGCACCACTCCGGGATCTGAGGGTTACCGTTAGGGGCCGGCTGAGATGGGAGCAGGGACTCTGAATCCCGCAGAGCCCATCCCAAGGGGTGTCACGGATGAGGGGCATAAACGTGAGTCTTCGCAGACACTTCTCTGTTGCCAGGAGAGGGGACATGACACATATCCCTAGTGGGGAAGGCCCAGAGTCCCTTCATTCAAAGGCTTTTATTTAAAGGGGTATCAGTGGGGCTAGGTAACAGGAATACACAAGTTATCTCATTACATCCATATGTTAATGTTTACAGAGAATAGATGATACTTTGAAGAAAACAAATGGCAAGAACACGCCGATTTCCATGGGTCCGAGAGGAGGCTAATAAACAAAGACGGCTAAACGTGAGAGTGTAGTAAACATAAGATTGCCTAAGGGTATAGGGTTAGGGTCTGTGAATAATGTAAATTTCCTTCCCAGCGTAAGCTGGCTATAGCTTCTGAGGGAAGAACAAAGCACATTTTGAAGAATTTACTTTGAGGCCTGATTTCCCTGGGAACCACTAGATCTGGTTTAGGACAGTCTCCAGTATTGTTTCAAGCCTGAGCCAGGCAGGAAGAGGGAGCCACCAAGAGACAAGGGGACTTCTTTCAGATTGAATGAGTACTCTGGCCATGTCCAAGCTGAGTCAGGGGGTGTGGGCCTTTTTGCCCTTTCTCTGTGTCCCCCAATTTCTTGTCTGCCTCCCAGACCGGTCAATGTCTGGTTTAAGTTGTTATCTCTGCACGAGATAACTTAATCCATCATCAGCAAGCGACCATCACAGGGCCAAGCAGAGAGGCTTGCCGGCGGGGACAAGTTATGTCGCCTCAGGCGCCTGTTTCTCCAAGGCCTCCCTGATTATTTCCAGCCTTGGGGCCCTCCAGCCTGCCGGCAGGGTTATAGTTACTGCAACAAGACAGGGTGTCTCCCAACAATCCCTCCAACTTTGTCCTTCTTTCTCAAGATTGATGAGGCTATTTGGGATCTTTTTCGGTTCTATATAAATTTTTGGTATATTTGTTCTAGATTTGTGAACTATTCCAAAGGTATTTTAATAGGAATTGCATTGAATTTATAAATTGCTATGGGTAGTACAGACATTTTAATGATGTTAGTTCTTCCAATCGAGGAACATGGTATATCCTTCCATTTATTTGTAACTTCCTCAATTTATTTTGTCAGTGTACTATAGTTTTCTGAGAACAAGTCTTTTACCTCTTTGGTTAGATTTAATCCTAGGTACTTTATTTTTTGTTGTTGTTGCTATAATAAATGGGATTATTTCCTTAGTTTTTCTTTCTGATATTTCATTGTTGGTGTACAAAAATGCTATTGATTTCTGAATATTGACTTTGTGTGATGCTATTTTGCTGAATTTACTTATTTGGTCAAGTAGTTTTTTTCCTGGATTCTAAAGATTTTTCTATGTACACTATCATGTCATCTGTGAATAATGACAGTTTTACTTCCTCCTTTCCAATTTGGATGCTTCTTATAGCTTCTTCTTGTCTGATCACTGTGGCTATGACTTACAGTACTATATTGAATAAGAGTGAT